AACTTACATGAGAATCTTTGAAGTAATTTGTTATTATGTTATAATGTGTACTCAGATTTTTTTGATTAAACATGATTTTTCTCAAAGCAAATCTTCAGTTCTAATTACACCAACATAACAGGCTATTTGAATTACCTATTGCTACATTAAATTATATTTTTTCTAATTAACTCCATTGACAAATTAACTTAATAAAACGCTCATTTAATGCAAAATGTGTCGCAGACAAAATCAATATAAAATCTATAAAAAATTTGTATAAAAATATCCAAATGAGGTTTGAAAATTGTAAATCACATGTTTTTTATTTACATTTACTGCGTTCAATGCGCAACCAGGGTTGCCAAATCGAATAAAATGATATCTTAATATAAAATAATACGACGTCATTGTTATAAGGCATACCTACGATTTGAGCCAAAATTATAAAATTTGGGTATCTAAATAGAAACCCATAGAATGGTTGAAATAGAAAATTATATATAATATTATAATATAGACACTGATGCATAAAATTTCCATATAATTTCATATAAAAGTTTCATTTTAGGAGTTGATCAAATTTCAAAAGCATACAAAAGTCTGTGTACTCATTTATTTCGATATTAAAACATTTGAATTCAGACGACAGTTTTGATTGAAATTTTAGCAGGCAAAAATTTTAAACTAACATCTGATATCAAAAGAACATCGATTCACACGCCGTTCATTCCAATTTAAATGTCAAATTTATCAAACATTCACAATTTTAACTACTTTCACAAAATATTTAGTTCGCATATATGATAGTTCTGTTCCATGAGCTACTCGTAGTAAAACTCAAATAAAACACAAATAAACTACATACTGAGACCGTAACACAAATAAATTTACGCTCTTTACACGTATACACGTGTAAAATCTGTTGAGACCACCAGTGCCGTGCAAATAAGCAATACAAAAATTTAAATTCAAACCAAAACAGCTGATTCACACATCAACATAAATTTTTTTTCAAATAAAAGGTACGAGTAAAGTCTGTGTAACATTTTCAAATTTCGACAGGGATGTTACGCTCTCTCAGCTGCTCTCATTTATTCGAAAATTTTCTGGTGGAACTTTAAACTCAAGGTTACTTTACTTAAGTTTTACTTGAAATGTACTGGAACATACCATAAATTTGGTGTTTATGTTTTTCCCAAATTTTACTTCTGCACAAATAATGAATTGCTTATTTTCAATGAGTCAGCTGATTTTTTACTGCACAACCAGTTCAGTCTTCGTTTTGATAAAATGTAAACAAATGTACGTTCAATGACTGCCAAAACAAAACGAAATAAAAATGTGCTTAACAGTTGGTAATTAAACAGGGTTGTGTTTATAAATTCAGAAGTTTACCAACTAGTCTGAGTTGTGTCAATAAAATTATATTTGGAATCTTTTTAAAACACGATTAATATATAAATTTTAGTTTAAACATCTCTTTTTAAAATAACTTATTTAAAGCTTTGAGGAAATGTATTTGTTTAGGTTTATTATTTATGTTTATATATATTTAATATTATTTAATAATTATTTTATTTACTTACGTGTGCTTAAGTTTATGGGCCAACACTGCGACCAGTAATTGACCAACGAAAAGTGCAATTCTGCATTATCGGCTTTTCTTGTTGGTCAGTGGTCAGTGCACTGAAGAAAGTGTGTCATATTTTGACTTATAATTATGTCAGCACAGAGTAGGCAGATTTGTTGTTTTCTGAATTACGTGTTAAAGTTTATTGTTAATTATTGCATAATTAAATGTCTTTTATATGGAATAATTTTAAACAAATAGAGTAAATAATTTTAATAAAGTTCAGAAAGAAATGCAGTAGGAATCAATCGTAGATATTATTTCTCATATCGATTAGTTTGGATTCCAATTGCTCAAATTAATCAACACACAAAATACAAGTAGTTTGGGTTACAGTGCTTAAGCTACTTCACATACAAAATAGGCTACCGAGCTAATACAGATTAAGGATCTGGGTTATCACCAAGTAGCGTACAGTGTTTATTTTTTTTCACAGTGAAAATAACATTAGCGATCACAATAACTGCATTTTTCCTATTAATTAATTTTTAAGAAAATTTAAATTCAAAAGTATTTAAAATAAAATACTTTAATAAACAATTTTTCACTGCAATTTTAATAAATCGAATTTTATTGAATATCTACAATAGAATTGTCATAAAGCTTTTCTATTCGAAGCTTGTAGGTTAAAAAAATAATATTAAAACTTTGGTAGGAAATATTTATTTTAAATTTCAGTTTTATTTATTATTCGGAACGCTACATCATTCAACCCACTTTCGTCTGTCCTTGAGCCTACATTCCAACGAACAGTCCATAAATGTATAGCAAACCGCAATCCCTTTAAATTTAGCAAAGTTCGAATGTTAAGGGAAGTAGAAAAATTTAAATTTCTGTAATAAAAATAAATCGAGTAAAACATTAAACACAATATAATATTTTGTTATTTTCTCGCAAAACTGCAATGGAAAATATCAATTTTATTTTATTGAATTTATTTTGTACTATTGTATCTGTGCCAGTTTCGCATCCACGTTCTATGCAATTTCACCAATGTCAACAAAACTAGTGCCGATGTTCAGCATTGTGCTTACAACATTTCATGCACTTGAACTCGCTTTAGGTGCTTGTCGAATGGTGAATATATCTGCATATCTGCATACCACCACGATTAGAAAAAAAACAAAATCCAACTCTATAACAATTTTAGTATTGGCGTGTAGTGCCCAATTACCGAAAACTATTTCATGTTTTTCGGAATTCAATTGCCTTTGTCTCGTCAATCCAATTAAAACATATTATTTTTTAATTACTCCTGTAAAATTGTGCTCGATTGAAAATGTTGTCACTGACATCCAATAAAAGTACGGTTGGTACACATTATATTCCATAAAACGACATGACAATATTTAATTTGCATAAATCTAAACAGATTTTAGTGTGAAATCCGTTAATCTGATTGCTTAAAAAATATTTAAATTATGTTGAGATTAAACATTTTTACTCATTTTTAATAATTGTTAATAATCTAATAATTGCCGACTATATACCAATGTATAATAAGATTTTTGAAAAATAAAATAAATATTTAAATTTTGTTGAAATATTAAAACATATATCTACCGATATATACTTGGCGTTACTTAACGATTCAAAGCCCTTTTGATATATCTGTTATAGCTTGAATATTTATTTAGTTTGCTTGGAAACAATCTGAAGGAATTTGTGACTGTTGAGCATTGATAATGATCTGGAAATATGACATGATAAGTAAGTGTTATTTTTCTCTACGGTATTTGAATTGGCTGCTTTACAGACCATCGTGCTGATTGATACTTCAGGTTTACGCAGATAGAATATAAGCATTTGTTTATTTACACAATAAAGAATTCCACTGCAATCGGTTGGGAGACTCATAAAACGAAAACAGGTTTTATTTCGCGCTTGTTCCTTACCCAAGGAGAAAACATGTCCAAAAACAGGGGTTCGATGATTAATGCTAAAATACAAATAAAGGGTAAAGCATGACCTGCTTTCGGAGTTCTAAAGGAAAATGTTATCACTGTTTGTTTATTTCATCGATAATTTTTCTTATACAGCTGCTTACTTAGTAAGTTACTTAAGTAACTTTAAGATTTTGTCGTTTCCAGTTTTAAGAGAACTTCTGTTTAGGAAAATTTTACTTACCAATATATAACACAAAAATATGTAATGAATATGTTATATATATATTAAATATGTAATTAATGAAAATACAGATTTTATTAAATACTCACCTTCTCAGTACATTTGTTTCTAGCTCAGCTGTTGTTTGTTTACATTTCATATATAAAACATATGACAAATGTGTCAAATTTAGGTTATTTCCCTTGTGGGAAATTTATTTTTAAATGTTGCATTCGAGATCGTTCACCTTAAACAGTTGGTTTGTTTATAATGAGCTCATATATATGAAATCTTTAGTAATTTATCCTCATAATCGGCATTAATGAGCTAAACTGCCTAAATAAAATAGTAGAAACATTAGACTATTGGTCTGTTCCACGAGATACTAGTAGTAACTTTGAGTAATACTGTGTGAACGCAAGTGTGTTCCACCAGCAAATTTTCGAGTAAATGAGAGCAACTGAGAGAGCGTAACATCCCTGTCAAAATTTGAAAATGTTACACAGACTTTACTCGTACATTTTATTTCAAGTAAAATTTGTGTTGTTGTGTGAATCAGCTGTTTTGGTTTGAATTCAAATTTTTGTATTGTTTATTTGCACGGCACTGGTGTTCTCACCAGACTTTACGCAAAGCTGTTCCATGAAAATCTGTGTACAGAACGTAATTTACACTCTCCGTCTGTACTTTACTTGTGTTTTACTAGAGTTTTACTAAGAGTAGCTAGTGGAACAGACTTTAAATATAATACACATACAATAATATAAAAGATATGGTAACACTACTTTTTTCTAAGTGTGTGGTGGCGTTATTTTGGATTCACACGAGAGTTTAGTTTGTAATTTTAACTGTCAAAAATTTTCATTTTGCATTGAAACCAACGACAATTGAAACTTATAGTTGAACTTAAAAAAAAAAAACAAGTGCGTTTTATATATAAAAAATGTTTAGTTGTAGTATTTATTTTATTAATTGCAATATAATATTTATGGTAATATAATACTTAACTCATTTTCGTGTTTATCTCGATAAGCACTAAGGGCTTAGTAACATTTGCTCTACAAAATTCGTACAAAATCCACGCAAAAATGTGCGAGATAAGCGCTTATATATTTTTTAAGTCCTTTGGCTTAGTCAATGCTGCCTCTCAATATTCCAACGTGGTAATTATGGAAACAAAATAAATTTCAACCAAAACCATATGATAAATAAAATCGATTTACTTTAATAAATTCAAAATAGAAATACAGAATTTTTAAAAATTTAATAAATTCATTACGAAAAAACTCTACACAATGAGAAAATAAGCTTTAAAAATAGAAAAATAAATATTTACACGTTTTGTCAAACAGAAATTGTTGATCCATGTAAGAAAAACATAGATCAACAACTACACGTTTGCAATATTATGCAAACCGCTTCTATATAGTTTACTAAGCGACCCATTGCACGGACTTATTGAAGTAAACTTATTGACTTATTGAAGTAAGTCCGTGCAATGTTCACATCATTGGCTAAAGACCATTATCCATTACTGAACGATTAACAGAATATAACTTCATATAATTTCAATCACTGTATTTTATTTCTGTATTGAGTTCAAAAAATAAAAAATATTTTCACGAAAATGAATATTGCAAATAGCACATTTACGCTGTCTCATTTAGACGATTTTGCTCATTACTCATTGCAAATTTTCTTCTGGCAATGTTAATAGAAATAAACTCTTGATTTCCCTGCATAAATATTTCCTGCTTGGCAATACCTTTGTAGTTCTTTGTTTTTCTTTCCACTTACGGCGGTGTTCTAGATGTTCGTTCTAATAAGCATTTTGTATTAAATTCTTATTTGTTTTAAATTTTAATATCTTCGAGGTACGATATTTACAACCTTTTTGTCACATTCTTATATTAATTATATTTCAGATGCCCCCTGTTCGAAAAAATCAAAGTCTGGATTTACATATGTCAAAATCTGGTCGTAAAGAACCTTTCCATGGAATTGTGGAAGAAACAAATCTCATGGCAAATGCTAAGTCCACATCTCAAAATGAGCCACCAAATCACACCGACCTGACTAGCGACTCTAATTGTGGTGCTACGCAAGTACAGCATGATCAGCCACAAACGGATGAAAACGAGGCATTTACGGCGTTTCTAAAGGCTGAACAAAAGAAATTTGCAAAGATTCAGCGTGACATTTGGAATATCAGAAAAAAAAGAATAGCATTGCAACCGAAGGGAGATTATTTAGTATCGGAAATTAAGAACAAATTGCAACAAATGAAGGAATTGATGAATGAATTAAGTGAATAATTTTTGCTAATTAATAAATGACATTTTGTACGCTCCTCAAGTGAGTCAAAATCAAAATTAAACATAAAGTAGTGAATAAAAGATTTTCATTCTTACACTATTCAAATACTCAATGCATTAAATCTTAAATAAATTGCTATATGACTTATGTTTCTTTTCTCATTTGTTTTCAATATTATATAAGTTATATTATATATATAAATATATATATATTATTAAATATCCTAATTTATATAATATATATATATTATATATCATCTTTTTCGAATAATTTTGTTTTGTATTGGTTTGGTGCCATTTGACTCTGATGGAGGGCAGCCTAATTAGCTACTAATTAACTCCTTGCTATCCAATTGTTCGGTTGATGATTACGAAAACTTACTTGTACGATAAGGTCTGATCTATACAGTTGGGGTCATTATATACGACTGTAAGAATATGACAAGTTAAAGATTCTACAGATAACTTATTTAACAATTTCAATATAAATTCGATGTATAATATTGACAAGCTCGATGAAAACAATTACGACTCATGGAGTATCCAGATGGGGAGTGCTCTGGTGTGTCGTAAGTGAAAATATGTCTGAAGTGACCAAGAATGGAAAAGATCTGGATATATGTGAAAAATGGAAACTGTAGGATGAAAAGGCGTTGACGGCAATAACGTTGTCAATAAAAACTGTTGAAATTGGACATATAAAGAAATGTAATACCGCAAAATTCGCTTGGACTGCCTTAAGAGAAATTCATCAGCCCACTAGACTGATAAGGAAGGGATCTTTATTTAAGAATAAGCTATATATGCGCATGAGTGAGGGTGATTTCATGCAGCAGTATATTGCAAATTTTGAAAAGGTCATTGAACAACTTTCGGAAATTGGCCTTGGATTGCAAGAAGAGTTGTTTGTTATAATGATTCTAGCAAGTTTGCCAAAAAGTTACGAAAACTTTACTGTTGCCTTAGAAACACGAGATCTGCTACCAAAGCTTAGTGCTTTAAAAACGAAATTATTTGAAAAAAGTGAACGGCGAAAGTATAACGAAATAGTTGAATCAGACGGTACTGTACAACCATTAGTTGCTACATCTGGCCATAAATATTACAAGAAATATTACAACGACGATCACACCAAAAGAAATAGGAAGGTAAAGAAGACAAGAATTTTAGAAAAAACAGTAACTTTAAATATTACAAATGTGGGGAGAAAGGCCATTTCGCTGCAGAATGCAGATCAAGAGAAACTTCTGTTAAGAGAACTAAGAAAATTTCTGGAGAGTATTCAGAATCATTTTTTTCTGTTTTTGGAGTTAGTGGAAACACGGTCCTTGATAAAAAAGCTTGGTGCTTGGATAGTGGCGCAACTTCTCATTTGTGCGCACATCGTGAAATGTTTGAAGATTTTGAGCAGTGCAGTAAAAAAATAATGCTTGCAGGCAATAAATTTCTCAAAGCTATAGGACGTGGTAGTGTGAGAATAAAAAGTAACATGGGTGAACTTATATTAAAAAATGATATAAATGATGATTTAGTTCTGTGGCATAAACGGTACGAACACTTCAACATTAATAGTTTAATCGAATTAAAAAATAAACAACTAGTGCTGGGTTTCTAATTTGATTCAGATCAAAAACATATAAACTGCACAGTGTGCCTTAAATGCAAATGCAATATTAAACCGTTTCAATCGTCTCAAAGTAAAACAGAAAATATCTTAGATTTAGTCCATAGTGATGTTTGTGGACCAATTTATGTTAATTCAATAGGAGGATCCAGATACTTTGTTACTTTTGTAGACGACAACTCGCGGTATATTTTTGTTTACTTTATAAGACAGAAGAAAATCAGAAGTTTTAACTGTTTTCAAATCATTTAAAAGCATGATTGAATGCCAAACAGGTAAAAAAATTACAATTTTAAGGCACTGAATACGTAAATACAGAATTTAATAATTATTTGAATGAAAATGGTATTCTTAGACAATTGACTGTGCCTCACACTCCACAATAGAATGGCGTTGCTGAAAGAGTTAACACAACTTTAGTAGAGATGGCACGCAGTATGATCTTAAACGCAGGTGTCGACGAGAAGTTCTGGGGTGAAGCAATTAACATACATTAACATACAATTAACATAGCATACATATATAAGAAACTGATCACCAACAAGAACAATAAAGAACTTGACTCCATATGAAGCTTGGTGGGAGAAGAAACCTGTGGTAAGTCATTTGCTAGTATTTGGTTGCTTGGCGATAGCTCTTGATAAATCTGAGAAAAAGAAATTTCGAACAAAGGGCAAAGAAATGGTTATGGTTGGCTATGAAGAAAAATCGAAAGCATATCGACTATATGACAAAACAAATAAAAGGCTTTTTGTAAGTCGCGATGTGTATTTGGTTGAAAATTTAAACAATAATAGCAATATTGATCTTCTACCCTTATTAAGTCCAAGTAATCTTGAACGCTATATTCCAGATAGTGAATTTGAAAATCCAACTGAAAATGTCGAAAACAGTGAGGAGAACTATACTACCAACAAAGAAACCAGTCAAATGAATACACCACATGAAGACAAAGACCATTTACCAGATGTTGAAAAATCCGAAGACTATGGTATACTGGTACAACAGCTGGTTATAATTAGAATACGCCAAAGGCTTCTATTGATAAAGGTTAATAACTTCTGAGTCGACTCCCTCGTTAGCGACCATGTTTCGCACCCATATAATACGCAGACGTTAAATATTCTGATCTTAGTTTTGAAGCTTACATTGTTGGCTTTCCAGACTTTGTTAAGCGATGTGAAAGAGCCATTTGCCTTTTTCACTCTGCAGCCAATGTCCTTTGACATGCCACCTTACTTCTTCAATGTTATAATCATACAAAAGGATGGGCAATTGATTGCTTGCTTTCACTCTCATTGTTTTTATCTTTGAGGCGTTAATTTTTAGGCAGACTATATGACTGCTCCCAAACGTTATTAACGAGAGTTTGCATATGAGTGTGTACTACATCGTCTGCATTACTAAATATACTCGTATTTAAATATAATAAAATAAAATAATTTTATTTTTTTGTCGATTTTTCTAAATGCAATTTAACTGAACAAAATTATAATCTGCCTATTAAAGTGGAAGAAAACATACTTTTTTATTTAATATTGAAATATTTTATAACAATTACGCACATTAAAAAGCGATTTAACAACTTTTTTGTGATTTCGACATATGCTAATAGAATATTAAAAGAGGAATACATAAAAACATAAATAAATAAATAAAAATGGTTTGGTGTGACTTTTGTAACAATTTGAAGTATAAAATATTTCCGTAGATGCTTAAATGTTGACGTTATTCCCGCAGGTATTTGAAAGACTTTGAATGTGGCTTAAAGCGCTCACGTAGGCTCATTTATTTGCGTAAACAAACATACGAGTACGTACGGTAACAACAACAACAACACCCACAGCCATGCATAACGTAACATCCATAACGTAATGGTATGTACTTATGTTCTTACGGATTTTTGCCTCACAATTTGAGCTGAAAAATTGCCCTACGAAAACGTACATATGTACATATGTATGTAGGTATTTTGTGTCTTTGGCACTTATTTGCATAAAACGCCTGCACTCCATCCTTCAGGAACGACAATTGAGATAATGCCACGATTTGGTGTAATAGATTTTTTATGTTTTTCCAACATTTCGGCTCAAGTTTAAAATTTAATTTTGCATACTCCACATGTACGCAAATTTGTCACTCTCGGTTCCATCTCGAAGATGCCTTAGTTAAGGTAATTTCACGTGTAATTTTGTCACTTAGTATTCTTCAGGTAAAGCACGAAAAATTCACACGGCGAATTACTCTGTTAATATTAAATTTTTCAAACATAATTTTCTTGTGTTTTTCTTTGCGAGAAGTAATTACCAAAAACATTAAAGATATTTTCTTAAAATAAACTCAGATTCAAAATTAAATTTCTGAAATGTGGTATGTGGTAATGAGTTCTGTTAGTTAATTATTTGTCTTGAACAAATGATAATACGTATATATTCTTTCTTTTTAAGATTTTTTAATGTTTATTCAATTTTATAAAAATCTGTTTATGTTGATTTTCTAAAGTGCAAAAAGAAAATATAACTTATCTCACTTTTCTTTATATAATAATACGTAAAGTTTTCTGGAAACAAATTTCGTGCTTATTTTTAATTTATTTTTGAAGTTTGTTTATTTTTATTGAAACTTCTTGTTCATCTCTATTTTGCATTTTATCACAAAAGAACGCAGAAACTGTTTACACAAGTGCATCTTGAATTTAAGATACGTCATTAAAAATTTCTGACTTCCTAACACAATTTGTTCTAAGACTTCACGATGCATCCGTCTGTCTCTAAAGATAAATGTGAACTTTCTAAAATTATTTATTTTGTGTTAATTTATAATGATAGATTTAATTTTGTTTATTTTAATTTAATTTAATATATTCAAATTCACGAGTTCTATATTTTAATATATACATTGTGACCGAAAAGTTTTCGGGAAATTTTAAATAAAACGCAAAATTCTTAACCTTCATCAATATTATTTTATCTCCTTCAAAATATGCTCCATTAGAAGCAATACACAAATGCCAACGTTTCTTCCAATCATCAAAACATTTTTTATAGGCGCTTTCCGGTATGGCTTTGAGTTCCCTCTGCGAATTCTGTTTTACGTCTTCTATGGATTCAAAACGCGTTCCTCTGAGTGGTAATTTGAGGTTGGGAAACAGGAAAAAGTCACACGGTGCAAGATCAGGTGAATACGGTGGCTGTTCGATGGTATTTATTGAATGTTTGGCCTTAAAATCGTTGATAATGTTGAACAAATTGAGGTGAATCGGAACAAGCCGGGCGTTGACACGTCGCATACACAAATTGTCCACCAAAATCAAACGAGCCATCTCACGACCGATGCCTAGCTCTCGTGCTATCTCTCTAACACTCACATGAGGATTTTTGAACACGATTTCCTTTGCCTTTTCAATGTTTTCGTCGGTGGTAGAGGTCGAAGGTCGTCCAGAACGCGGCATGTCTTCGACGGTCGTACGACAGTCCTGAAAGGCTTTGTACCACTCATAAACTTGAGTTTTCGATAAAACTGATTCCCCATAAGCCTTTTGTAGCATTCGCAACGATTCTGCACACGAAATTTCGTTCGAAAAACAAAATTTGATGCAAACTCTTTGTTTTTTTCCATTGTTTTTTTTGCAACGCACTACTGAGGTGAACTGGTTTCAACAGCTGCCGTAAACGAACTGTCTGACAGATCGCGCTCATTTTTGGCATAGTAATTAAGGACAGTGCTGCCAAACTACATAAACTTAAAATATCGAAAAATATACAGCGCGCGAATTTTAAATGAGAATTTCCGAAAACCTTTCGGTCACAATGTATAACAGCTGTCACTTTCGAATCGGAACCGAACCTAAAACCGAAAAAAATCGATATTTTTGTTGGAGCGAATACCGGAACCGAACCGACATATACTTTTTTTGAACTGGAACGAGAAAAAAATTTAGGGTTTCGAAACGGAATCCAATCGAAAACCGAAAAGAACCGATATTTTTGTCGGAGTGAAAACCGGAACCGAACCAGAACTAAAAGCAGAACGGAAAAAAATTCAAGGTTTCGAACCAGAACCGAAACGAAAACCGAAAAAAAACCGATATTTTTGTTGGAGCGAAAACCGGAACGGAAAAAAAATTATGGCTTCGAACTGGAACCGAAACAAAAACCGAATAAACTGTTATTTTTGTCGGAGCAAAAGGTTCCGGTTCAAAGCCCTGCTTTCGCACATGAACTGTTGCGCCCTTTTTAACTTTTTTATGAACTTAAAAATTTTTTTTTCATAAGTAAAATGCATTGAAAGTTAAAGTGTGAGATTTGAAACTCCACCTCTTACGAATACAAAATTAATAAAATTTAACTACAAAATCATAAAGGTTAAATGCTAAAACCACATTCCAATAATAAAGGACAAAGTAGACATTAGAATACAGAAGACGTCGTATTTATTTAAAAGTCGATTTTGTTTTTTAGGATTCTCACTTTTATTTCGATCGTGTTTTTATATATTCCTGTACGTATTTTGGCAAATTCGCTTTTGCCTTCATCATGAGAATCTAAATATTAATAGGAATATTGATTTATAGAAAATTCGGACAAAATTCTGTACTTGTTCAAGTTCAAAGTATACTCAAATGTTTCCATTGATTTCTGTGATACGGCTTAAATAGGCTTTTATGGCCTGGTCCTCACTTACGTCAATTTAGAAGCGATTGTAAGATTAGATCATATTGAGCAGTGAGACTAAGCACACTAATCAGACTTACTAATCAAAAAGCGACATCAGTATTTCCTAAAAAACGGCTCATATCAGATTTTCCACACTATAGCATTAACGACACTGTTTGCTATATACGGATATCGTTTGCCATTATGATAGTTTAATTTAATACTTGCTTACCTGTTTTCATCTTTATTTGACAGCTATTGAGATTCCTTCATTGTATGTAATGGTGTTTCATCGAGACTAGCAGGAGTAATAAAAATTATTGATAGACTTAAATGAGAAACCATTTGAAAGGAATTGCACTTCAATAACTGAAACATAACAATAAATGTAAGTGATTTGGAAATAGAATTGTTTGGAGTAAATATGTTGTGCCTCTAAACTATAACAGGAACGACTAATACTGTATAAATGTGAGTTCTGATAATATAAGTAAAAATTATTACATAAAAAATTAATTTATTGAATACGTAGAAACCTATATTGAGCGTGTATTTAGTCAATAGAAATTTAGTATATACATATATAAGAAAATTTCTTGGGAAATAAAATTAGTTTTCCATATTAATTTACTTTCATACAAAGTTAACTCCACTTGAAATTGAGAACACCGTTAGATGCTACCATTTCTATTAAATTGTTTACTGGAAAGTTATTCATGAAACATTCCAAAATTACAAAGTTCAACTTAAAACTACAAAAAAACCTAATATTATTTCTTGTAGTTTTTAAGTTGAAATCAAGTTATCATATATAGTGTTCAAAAAGTGTAATGAATATTTAAAAAAATATTTTTTGTCATATAGTTGTTATTTTATGTTGAGTACATTACAAAACTCAACTGATTAAAAATTTTTTGTACTAAATTTATTTTATTTGAGATATTAAAATATAAAGAGACTTGGGATGAGTAATAGTTATTTGAATTTTGTTGAGGTATTTTATGCCTCCAACAATAACCTACCTCCAGTAGAGGTTGCGAAAGCAGCTCGCGCGCACTGGGAAACTTTACCATCTAAAGAAAAACACAAGTACCATATGGAGAGCAATGAGGCCGCTGAGAACCTCCAAGATGACTTGGCTATGGAATGTGGAACATGTGGTAAGAAAAAGAAGAACCCTTGTGCGAAAAAAAAGAAGAAAAGTTGTCCCAAGAAGAAGCGTAATCCGTGTGCTAAGAAGAAAAAACCATCGTGTAAGAAAAAGCCTAATCCGTGCAAGAAGAAGAAAAAGCGTCGTCAAATTTGTTGCTAATAAGTAACAAATTTTCAATGCAGACTGGAGCAAAAATATGAGTATAAATTTAAATAAATTTTTGACAACTAATTTTAAAAAATTTTATATATATAGAATTAGGTGGAAATTTTCAACTCTTGTTTCCAGTCTGTTAAATCCACCGGACAAAAAACAGGTCATAAACTGTAAGTTCTTCACATCTTCTAATTATATTATTTAAAATATTTGCGGAATAATATAATGCTACATGTCTATATCTTTTGTTGTATGAAAAAAAAATTTATTGCCTTTAATATCTTACCACTGACTGGCGTTAAAAATGAATTCAAAATAATTTTTTTTAATATGATTGTATATAATTAAGTGAATTAAGTACAATAAGTAGAACTTGAATACATTTTTTGAAGCTTCTATTATTCGGAAAGATCATTTTTAAAATTTGGGATAATGTTGAATATTTATATCCTCAGTTCCCTGATGCTCAAAAATATGTTTACATTTTTTGATTTTAGTCTGTGCAAAATTCAATACCAATAACTTATTTATTCGTACATCGGCGTTCAAATAGTCAAACAAAATCGATAAGTAATTTTTAATTAGATATATATTCTACATATATCATATACATATCATATATATATTGTATACACATATAAAACATTATATATATGATTTAGTTGGGATACTACTTATAAATTGTACATTTTTGTGTCTTTGGTACACGCTGTGAGAAATAGTGCATATTTTTGTCAGCCTTATCTGATCTGATCCTGATCCTCATCTCATTGATCAAATTCCTGATTAATTATTATTGTGGAACTCCTCAATAAAGGTAATAAGTAAACAGCAATCAAAGATTAATTAAATAAAAATTTGTTTTTTCAGGTTTATAAGCCCTCGTGTTTGCACCATACAAGCCTGTATATATCCTGTATTATATGTCCTGTAATTTCTGTACTGCAAGATAAGGACGAGTCAAGAAACTATTCCCCCACACAAGTCATTAAAAAAATTATCAAAATTCAAAAACAAGGTACGGTGAAACTTCAACTTTATTTAAGATATGTGTTAATTAATTTATAAATAAAAGCAATTATTTTAAATTAACTTTTAGAGTTATTAAGTATTTTAAGATTATTCTGAGTCAAGTCTGCAATTATTTGAAACGAAACGAAATTCTATGTCGATGTTTAGAAAATTCAAGTAGATTGAGGTTGTTGTGAGTCAAGTCTGTATATTTTTTAGAAACTAACATAAATCTATTAAATTCTATGTATAAGTTGTATGTTCATATTGAGAAAGTTTAAGTGGATTGATATTATTGTGAGCCAATCCTGCCTATTTTATAAGAAACTAACACAAACTTATTAAATTTATTTAATTATATATATTAAAAATTTAGGAACATATCATGTTGTTGAAAAATGATTATAACCGATTAAAATTATCAAAATTATATTAATAAATTAATATTAATTAAAACACTTAAAAACATTGATTTCATTTTCATAGCTTTTATGATAAAAAAATATCTTAGTCACACATTTGCAGCCACATAGGTTTATTAATGCAATTGGTAAAATTATGGAATCGTTCTTAATTCTTAAAACGTACCTTTGGTCACAAAATCCGATATTATCTTATTATATTATATTATATTATTATTATTATTATAAATAATATTATGTAAAACTGAAAACTTCATCAAATTCTTAAAAGAAAAAAACGTTTGTCAAAAAATAAAAAGACCGAAAATAACAAACCCTATACATTACTCGGTAAAACTTCAAGTAATTTTCGATTTTCACAAAAGGTTTAGGTGTTTGAACACATTTTTAGTTTCAAGTAATACGAATACCGGGAATATGTTCGAATATTTTCTTTTGTACATATTTATATAAAACAAAAAGCAATATATTTAAAGCATAAAGCAGATTGCTGTTCCAGCTGTTCCAGAATTTTTGAACATTTTCAGGTGTGTAATCCAAGTGGTCAAAATTTAATATACTAAATCTGCTCGGACATCGTAATGCTGCTTCTCTGAATAAAGTTGTTATCACTTTTGATACATCAGTCTATTTATGAAAATCGGTATTGGACAGAGATTTGTTTTCGAAATTAAGATATCACGTGGTCCCAATTTTTCAATACCAATTTTAAGGATAACGTTATAATGATTTTATTATCTCTGGCATTTAAATTCATTGGCTTTTTCAATTGTACTGAATGCTCTGTGCCTCTGCAAAAATTTTATATGTACTGTACTTTGAAGTACAGAGTAACAGGATTAACTTGAAATTGACAATTGTTTTATATTATATGACTTGACAGATAAAGTGCAATTTGATGTGATGTATTCATTTAAGAAATAAACTATTAAAAATATAAGATTACTCGAAAAATGTTCGATTGGGCAATAAAATTAGACACATCGAGAGTAAATCTGGATTTAATCTAGATTTACCAATCGAAAACGCTATTACTGCATTTATTTTCAAAGCAAAATATGTCACACTCCAGCAAACGCAACAAATGATACATAGTACTAGCACAAAATTATACCAAAGTACAGAAGAAATCATAGTATTCTTCATGGTATAATTTGTAGTACAACACTACATGTGGCTCTCTAGCCGCACTCATAAACTATTGATGAACAATTAACACTCCTAATAATTTTGCCTTTATATCGCATATTCTTATATGGATTTTGTATGGCAAATATTACTAATTGCTACACATTTATCCATAGTGTAAACATTGTATTAAATCAAGTACACATAGATTTAACTAATTTTAATGCAAATTACTAAAATATGTTTGAGTAGATATATTTTTAATATAAGTATTAATACACATTAAAATATTTAAAAAATATTTTAAATTTTATTTGCTTAATTGCTGTCCTGTTTTCCTTACGTATTAACGAGTTTACAACCAATACACCATAATTAAATTGTTTTTCGGTTGCAAGAAGCTTCTTATTGTATTTTATAATGAACTCAGAATGCAATTTATACATTGACTACAGGCTTTCCTCTAGCCTGTAAATTTTATATAAATTAAAAAATAAAAATAAAGTTTAAACAAGGACAATGATGCGAATGTGTTTTGTACGCCGTCCACCGTGAGACAAAGTAATTTTGGAAAAATGTTTTTACCAGATATAAATGCACAAATATATATTTATATCGAATTCAACCAATAATATATTCGATATTGAAATTAAGACAACACTTAGTAAAATGATACAATTAACTTATTTAAAGTTCCTTTATGAATTTATTTATAATTTTTTTAACCCGATTTAAGGTTAAAATAAAATTTATTGAAAAAATATTAATTATTAAAATTATAAAAATTAGTTACTAAAAGTAAAAACAAAAAAAAAGTATTTGTTTTATACAACATAATTAATATATTATATTTAATATGTAATATATATTTTATAGAACGTATTAAATTATATTATGTAGATCGTTAATTTGGTAATTGCGTGTTCCGTAACGTCGCGACGTTATAGACGTCAAGATATACATTTTCGTCAAGTCCATAAATTGGACTTTGTAGCAGCTGATTTCGTATATTATGTTTCAAATGGAAGCCAAAATTAACAAAAGTTTTGATAAATTTAAATGAAACTTATTCTATTACTCAATTATTTATTTTTAGTTATATATCTTGATTTTTTTTAGTTAAACACTTTAGTTTAGAACTTAAATCTTGTGCAAGCAACATTTCACAACACTATGGATCAGCTGATGTTTTATCCAAAATCAAATTTATGAATTTAGACGAAATTTAAGAATGAAATGTAAATTGAATATTTTTATATAAATTATTTGCTAACTTCGCTTCCGCATTGTGTATTAGGAACCTCTACTAAAAGTTTTCTTGCTCGCATTACTTCGTTCGCCTTCATTAGTAAATTATCAAGTGTATCCTCACCCACCAATATATCATCGATGTGATGAACATTAGAACCATCTGACGCATCGGGAATGGCTGCACTTAGTAAATTCATTGGGCCAGAGTCTCCGACCTCTAAACCCGCTTCAATTTCCATAATTGCTCTGCGAAAGTAAGGAAGCTTTAATGTTTTTTCTGTAGAGAATTTGGTTTTATTCTCTTTATATTTGAAAATATTTTCTAGTTTGATAGTTCCTGTTTCCCCTGTCCCATAGAAATGAACTTGGAATTTATTTTTTTCTGCCTTCAATATTCTTGCCGGCCATGCTGGATAGAACCTAACCTTGGCGAACACAAAATCACCCATTTCGAAGCGTCTTGAATACTTCTTTTTCTTAGGCATTTTTGTTCTCCAGAATACACACTTTTCTTAAAAGTTAAACCTTTCTTGCAGACGAAAAGCTGATATAGAAATGACAATGTTAGTTTTTTACCTGTCAGGCGTTGATTTACAACTACAATTGTATCAATAAGAATTTGCAACAAAGTTGTATTTTTTAATTGTATTATTTAAATTTTTTTCACATTAAGAAATAATGACACTCATTGTGTTCTTATAAGCCTCTGAAACATTTGTTTAAAAAAACTTTAACTTCTGAACTAAGCATATAACAAATAGCAAAACAAAAGAAAAGATTTAAATAATTTATAATACATATAATCTTAAAATAAATGACGAAACTAATTATATTCTTAATAGAAATTATTTTTAATTTAAATGTGTTTAAACAGTAGTGAATCACAACAATAATTCAAAACTAAAAATTGATATTTATTATTATTAAAAAATTATTATTTTTTATTTTTAGTTAATAGAATTTTTGCTGATCAACAACTGCTTCGAGTATTGCCAAATACCCATCATTAGTGGTAATGGCAATAATTTTTGTATTTTTTTATTCGTTAATAATTTTTTGAGACTGCAAATAGTGTCTAGTGTCTGATATACCCTGCTAAATTTGGAAGTTAAAGCGCGGTGCAGACTATCATTTTTGAATGTCATTGAAGTTGCGCACTCTCTAGCTCAAATTTATTCCAGCGACCGAACTTGAGCATGCCCACAGTCAAGATTCAAGCAAAATTTTTGAAGAATAAGAATATTTTGCGCATGCTGTAAATAATATTAACAATAAAATAATAAAAGTAATAATAAAAACACATATTAAATTTATGTTAAAATTCTATTCGTTTGTGTTTGTTATATATATCGTCTACTAACGATAAATTTGTAGGGACAAAATTAGTGTAATCAAGCAAAAATATGCTCTTGAATAACGAGAAGCTAAATGTTGTGCTCACCAAAATTACCAATTTTTAGTTTATTTTCATTTCATTGCAACTAATTGTTAATTTTAATGTGACAACATTAAAGTATTAAAAATAAGAATTATAATTTTAAAAATTTTGGGATTAGCAAAAAAGGCTAATAGTTCCAATAGAGTAATATTTATAATCCACTAATAACACAAAATTTAAATAATTTCTTATAAAAAAAAAGTTAAATGTTTTAATTACGATGGCGTCATCACAGGGTAATTAAAATTAAAAAGCAGAGCACACACTAATTGAAATAATAATTATAATTTCAATTAATTTTGCATAAATGTGCAATCATTTTGTGAGTACTTTGAATCGGTTCATTGCTAACTAGCACCATATTTACATTGTGGTTACGCTGGACTTCTAGCTTTGTAGCTTCTTATTGACGCATTTACTCTGCTGCCTTATCAAAAAATTCTTCCTATCAACAAGGCATGGTCTTACATTTGCAAGTTTTCCTGGAAGCTCGATAACACCTTTACAAAACTTCTTGCATTTGAATAAGTCTACTCAAACTTACAATGAGGATGTTCTAGATGAACCGAACATCGACGATGAGAACTAAATTCTAATTTCGAAGCTGGTTTAGCTGATTTATTTCAATTAAGTCTACATGAACTTTGTATAATTAAGGATGATTAAAGACGTCAATGGCAAATCCTCTGTATTTATCGAATTAAAATTAAAATTCGCTTTAAGTTAGTCGTACAAATACTTTTACATTTCTATTACCTGCAACTGAAAATATTAACATTCAGTAAGCAGATGTATACTTCTACCAATAATTCCAATTAGTGCTTTTAATGATATACACAACATTAAGAAAATCGCACCCGTTATTCACAAGAATTAATAATGGTTTTTGTCTAGATGGTATTCAGTAGGACTATTACCAATAGAATTTTTATTATTTCATGATTGTTATTTTTTTTAATGGAAAACTTAATGCCTTTCATTTGATTTACACTTTTGTATCAGCCAATGTATTTTATTCCTTTTAATATATCTTGCTATTTAACAATTGCATTGCTTTCTTTTTCTGCAAAGGAAAAGAAAAAACAATGACTAGTTATTCTACGCTCCCACGCACAAATAAAACTTGGAGTCTTTGCAGCACAACTCTAGCCGATTAAACAACCGACCCTTCAGTCCCGATAATACCCGTAAACAGTGCGAACATATCTCTCTCTCCCTACGAACAACTACGGAAGATGTCCTTGGTTTCAAACGTTCCTCACGTTAAAACCAATGGTACGACGAGAAGTGTCCTGAAACTACTACCGCGAAGAACGCTGTCTATAAGAGAACCCTGCAGTAAGAAGCTACGCGAACCATGCATAAACAATATCAAGAGATAATGAAATTGGAGAAGCGCCAATTTAGATGGAGAAAAAAGTCGCAAACGTGAGGAAATCGAAGTATGTAGAAACAGGAATGATGCCCGTAAGTTTACACTCAAATGCGAATTGAGAATACATTTGCTGTCAAAAATGAGTAAATGTTGCGCACAGTATTCGTTCACAATAGCTGTTCACTGCTCACTAATCTTTTGCTTGTCAATATTTTTCTTATGGAATTAAGAAATTAATAAATAAAGTGTCCACTTAAAGGTGTTATAAGTAAGACGATTTTTCTGCACGACGGATCGTCATTTGCTTCTATCTTGTTCCTTAGGCTTTAGTCAATTTCAAAATCTTTTGAAATTGTTTTGAGAGTTTCGTTTGTGTCCATTTTCGACATCATTTGTCCGTCTTTACACACAAATGCCAATATTAGTTCACAATAGCTGTTACTGCTCACGACTGCACTGATGGAATAATCAGTCAGTAGCAAAGAGTACCTCAATTTATACAATTTATATAAATTTATTATATATACAATAGTGAACTAAAAACATTTGAATGCATATAAAAATAAATGCAAATTGGTCATCTGTGAACTGTGAAATTTAAAATTTTGTCCGAATTTCAATATTTATTTTTTTAAAGCATTTTTGTGGCTAATATACACTTACATTTGCGCAAGACAACTATGCATTACTGCCAAAACTACAAAATAAAATAATAATAAAAAAAACATGAAGAATATCGTGTTAAATAAACTTTCAGTCGAAACCATGTCAGGAAGTAGTAGTTAGGAGAAAAGATGTCCAGAAGCAATAAGCCAATTATTGTTGCCCAAGACGTACTTCAAGGAGATTATCTACGATTACTTCCTATGAAGCATCTAAAATTTGTATATGAGCATGCTTTTAAAAAAAAAAGTTGTAGTATTAAATTGAATATAACAACAAATTAATACTTAGGTTCAGAAATAACTTTTTAAAATTAATCGGCTCAACATACGTCCAAAAATATGATATCGTATAACATATGATAATTTATTGATGTCATTTGTGATTTGACATTTAGTCGGAGAATACAGTTTGCTTCGTTTCGTTTCGTTATACGATTTGAATGCAAAAAGACTGACTGCACTATAATTGTCAAAGTCAAATATTAAAAAGTGAATAAAATCGTACCTTAAAAATGTCTTATCTTATACACCATCTACATAACGGATGGCAGGTGGACCAAGCAATTTTATCTGAAGAAGATCGTGTAGTGGTATAATATATAAAAGAAATTTTTAATAATAGTACAATATTAATAAAAAGATTTTAAGGTGATACGTTTTGGACATGATTGGGATCCGATTTGCATGAAAATGGATGAAGTCATGTATAGCATTGCTGTGCAAGTTGAAAACTTCGCAGTAACATATTTGGTGGACATAACTGAAGTTCCGGACTTTAACAAAATGTATGAATTATATGACCCCTGTACGCTCATGTTCTTTTTCAGAAATAAGCACATCATGATTGATTTGGGTACTGGTAACAACAACAAACTAAACTGGCTACTTGAAGACAAGCAGGAAATGATTGATATAATTGAAACAGTTTATAGAGGTGCACGTAAAGGTCGTGGTTTGGTGGTTTCGCCGAAAGATTATTCCACAAAATATCTTTATTAGTGGAAACATATAACAACGATTAAACTACTATTCTTTAATAAATGATATCAATATCAACTGTTAGTAAATGCAACGAAATGAATTCTTATCAAAATAACAATTTCTTTTTAAGATTTTTCCTATTGCAAATTTGAAAACAGCAAGTAAAACATTAATATTAATATTGATATTAACAAATTAACAACAATAAAATCATTAACAACAACTAAAACAATATCGAGTTTTAAATTATTTAAAGTTGGTAAAGTTTTTTAGACAGAAAAGAAGAGATACGTGATTGATATTGTATTTAAAGTACACTAATTAATTAATTTCAATTTATTTAAAATTAAATTCTACTATTGAAGTGTATTTTACTTCATTCTTACACTCACTGAGTTAATGTGTTTGAAATTGACTAAAGCCTCAGGAACTAGATAGAAGCAAATGACGATGGACACTTTATGATAAAAGAAAAATAGTTCTCACAAATGAAAAACGATTTGTATAACTAAAATTCACACTAGGTTTAGATACTCGATATGTAGCCTTGTTGAATAAAGTTGAATCAAGAAGTTTGGATTCTTAGAAAGAATATGTCATAATGTAATTTATTATTGACAAGGATTAGCTTGAATGGTCGTCTATAGAGTGTCGTCGCAAAATGAATAGAGATGTTAGGGTGGACGTTGCATTTTCTCTTGTAAAAAGAAAATGAAAAAAATTACTAGATATAAAATCATTTAGCAGAGAAGATCTTATCTCTCTGTAAGAGTGTGGACGTGATTTCAAATAACGTACGAATTCCGAGGAAAAATGCGTTTGATAAAAGCTTATGTAATTAGATGCAAGGAACGTCTAGAAATGACAGTTCACGTTTTTCGTTTTTTAGTTTAATTTGTTCAATTTTAAGTAATGCAGTTCTGATTAGCACTTTAAATTCTACAAAATCATTTCGAAAAAATGGTTTTTCTAACCACAACTTTGGGCAAATTTGAAAAACTGCATGTAAGTTTTGAAATTTTTTATTTGATTTTTATGTTTAGCCACTTAATTACAATTTTTATATTAAAATAGTCTTTAACATCAATAAAAAATTATTTTTCATTTTAGTCATTGATTACTGATTAAA